GAAAGAACACAACTCTATGGACCCACTGTAGATTTTGACCTCCAGTACTTTAAGAGAATAAATTTCTGTTGTTTTAAGCTACTGAGTTTGTGACAATTTGTTATAGCAGCAATCAGAAACTAACACAAAAGATAATGGCACATGGTGTTAAAAAGTTTGAATTTGTAGAGACCTGGCTTTGAATCCAATGTCTTCTACTTACTAGCTATGGGGCTTAGATGAGCTGCTTAAATTTCTCTGGGCCTCAGTTTCACCTTCCTAAAAGTGATAATAATATTTACCTAGTACTTTCGCTGAGAGGGTCAAAGATGCAAAGTATTTAGTAGCATCTTATACATAGAAAGCACTTAATAAATTGTCATTATAGTAGTTATGATCCATAGAGAAAGGTAGATGCTAACAGGTAGATTTGAATATTCTGCAAAAGTGGGCATGCTCACTTTGCTTCCAAGAGCTTATTTTCTACCTAGGTGTTCAGAGCTAGTTTAGAATAAACTTGTCTAGTTGGAAAAGCCCTGAAGGACCTCAGTGACCAGTGATCTCAGAAGTTCTCCTGAATGAGTGTGTCCCAGATTCAGGCTGGGATTTAATCTCTGCAACCCATGAGTTCTATCATGGTTCCCACCGGACCACTGACAGACAGGAGAATTCCTGAAGAAACTGGATCCAACTAGCCATTAGGCCTACAGAGTTGCTAAGTTGCTTTTTCCTGTTTAATGGCTTTAATCAGAATGAGGGGACTTAATCTGTGTACCCTAATCTGTGTACCCTACTTAAGCAAAAGATGGTGATCCAAGAAAATTCATATTACTTAATTATTTTTTCCTAATATTAGACAGTCTTATATCTATCACTACACATTCTCTTTATTAAACCAGCAATTGTTAAGCACAAGTGCCCTTGCCTATGTTTCTTTCCTCATCTTGTACCACTGTCTCCTCTGACTGGGCTGTAGTCCTTCCCCGCCACAACCCATTCTCCCCCTTCTTTAAGATGTATGTTCTTTCTTCTTTCTGTGATATTCCCTCCATATGATTACTTTTATCTTCATTCTGACTTTCACTCTTCTTCCAGGTCTCTGCTAAAATGCTGCTTCCTTTTTGAAGCCTTCCCTGACCCTCCCAGGGATTTTGAATCTGGACTACTTCCCTCTGCCCACCCCCATAATAATTTCTAATTGGACACTTTACTTTTCCTTTTATATCACTTACTATAAGTCGTGTTTTTTATATTTATGTGCTTCTAAAAATATCTATTTCTTTCAATAAGTATTAGACGTGCATATTAGACATGCATAATATGAAGGCAAGGAGCCCCATGATTTTTGCTCCTCTAAACTAATACCTAGTCTAGGTGCCTAGCACTCAATTATAAGCAGTCTGTGCATATTTGTTGCAATGAATAGATGAATGATGAATTACCTACAAAACTTAAAAAAATCAAGAGTCCGGGCTATATCCCTAAAAAGCTTTAATTCAGTGGTTGTGGGTTACAGCTCACAAAATTATCTTTTTAAAAAGCTTCACAGGTGATTTTGATAGATAACGGCACTTTGAGAACCACCATGACAAACAGGAAAAAGCTACCAAGTATAAAACAACTCCTGTGATTTCAAATGTTATGCCTTCACCTTTTCTTTAGTTGATATGTGGGATGAGTGTAATTTTGATATTCATCTCATCCATTGATGCTGGACAAGGGAAGAGATTCCAAATGGACCTTCTGGTGCCAAAAGTTTTACTAGGAGAGGCTGAATGTCACAGCAAACCTCACAAGGAGAAGACAGAGATCTAAAACAAAAAAGCAAATGGAATGGATAGTTCTTGGAATGGCATTACTTTCCTTTAATTACCTAAAATTCTTACCTGAGTTCTGGGTATAGTATATGGAATAATTAAAAATTCAAATTTGGATAATATCCCAAATGAAAAAGAGTATATGAAACTTCACCTGAGAAAGCTTGATCTAGTTTCTTTTTCCTCCTTCATTGCCAATCCCTCAAATTATGGCTGGTTCCTATGATAACTATATTAATATGAACTCTGTAAACTCAAGATCTACAAGAGTTTACAAAAAAACTTTTTGTATAGCTTTATTAAGATATATTAAATACAGTAAGTGTACAATTTGATGACTCTTGACATATGTATGCACCATGAAATGATCACCATAATCAAGACAACAAACATTTCCATCACACTCCCTACAGTTTCCTAATGTTTCTTTGTAATCCATCCATCTCTCTATCTCCTTCTCTAGGCAACCTCCAACCTGCTTCCTCTTACACAGATTGATCTGACTTCTAGAATTTTATATAAACTGAATCACTCAGTTTGTACTTTTTATTTTTGTCTAGCTTTCACATAGCATAATTATTTTGAGAATAATCCAGGTGTTGCATATAAAAATGTGCGTGGTTTTGTTTTGTTTTGTTTGCTGAATAACATTCAGTTGCAAAAATACACCTTAATTTAGTTTACCCTTTCAGCTGTTGAAGGACTTTTGAATTGTTTCCAGTTGTTGGCTGTTACAAATAAAACCGCTATAAAAATTCATGAACAAGTCTTTATGAGGACATATGCTTTCATTTCTCTTGAGTAAATACCTAGGAATGAAATGCTTAGATACATGTGTGTTTAACTTTCTAAGAAACTGCCAAAACTCTGTTTCCAAAGTGGTTGTATCATTTTACCAATAAGCAATGTATGATAATTCTAGTTACTTCACCTTATAGCCAATTCTTGGCATGGTAAGTTTTTAAAATTTCAGCCATTCTGGTGGGTGTATAGTGTCATCTCATTGTGATTTTTGTCTTGGATGACACAGTCCACTTTGAAATACACCTGACTCAAAACTTCTACTCAAGGCAGGTTGATTTATTCTATACTATAAGTACAAACTACCCTTTATTTCTTCCATGTCTGTTCAAACATGAGCTGACAACCTGGAGTATGCTCTGCTCCCCATACTGCATACTCTCCTTTATTGAAGGGACCTGAAAATGTTTTGCTTAAGTAACTCTTTAAGTTAAAGAAAAAAAGAGCATTCACTTTAAAATTTTTTACATATTTTATATTTAAATATTTAAATATATTTATATATTTTATGATATATATTAAATGTTATATAATTGGTGTATTATATAATATATAGTATGTACTACATACTTTGTTATAATGTATAATATACATTAGATTTTCTATATGGCATAATATAATATATACTTTGGTATTAAATAATATATGATATTTAATATGCACATTATGTATTATATAGATTAATATTATATATTATATATAATCTATACAAACTATAAGAAGTTAATATTAGATATTACATTATAATATATATTATATAACTAATAAAGTTGTTATATATAATTATATGTTTGCAATATACAATGTAATCATACATGCTATATTATATAACAGCATAAATATAGCATAATATGATTTATAATATAATTATAACAATTTATGTATATAAAACAGTATGTTATATTACAGACTATAACATAATTATATTGTTAATTTATATGTAATATGTTATATTATGTATATTTAAATGTTAAATATATTTAAACATGTATGTTTACCAAGTGAGGGCGCCAGAATCTGCTCCAGGTCCAAAGTGGTCCTAGCAATGCTTCACTAGTGTGCTAATTTTTATGTAAAATAAATATCCCTGTGAAACATGCTTTACAATCTTTTTTTTGGATTTACTCCTCTAGTTCTGTTAAAGCCATGCTCCTTCCACCCAGGTTAAGATCACTGGATCTCCCTTTTCAATCACCCCATGGCCTTCAGGCTCTTGTGTGACTACCTAGTAATGGTTTTGTAGATCCCCATGGGGATTTTTCAGGTTATAAAACCCTGTCACACACACTACCTCATCTGATTTTTACAATAACCCTCTCAGATAGCAGAATGCCAATTATGTTTATTTTATATGTGTGGACTCTCAAGATCAGGAATGTAAATTGACTTGCTGGGTTCAAGGCTCCCAGTTAGTAAGTAGCAGAGGCTGGACAAACCAGAACCCTGGCCGCCTAATTAAGGAGATTTCATAAAACCCCACCACCCTACCACTCTGTATGCATACACCTTGGAGGCATAGCTCTCTCTTACATTTCTTTCAAACTCCAAAGTGCTGTGCACACTGTCAGCATTCCATCAGCATTTTCTTTAGCTAAATTACTTTGGCAAGTAAATTACTAGATAGTTTAGTTTAGGCTGTTTCACATTTTGAAGTTATTATGATGACCTTAGGAAATTTTGTTTTGTAATTAATAGTGTCTGGCAGGGAGGGGGAAGGGTAAGCTGGGACAAAGTGAGAGAGTAGCACTGACATATATACACTACCAAATGTAAAATAGATAGCTAGTGGGAAGAAGCTGCATAGCACAGGGAGATCAGCTTGGTGCTTTGTGGCCACCTAGAAGGGTGGGATAGGGAGGGTGGGAGGGAGACACAAGAGGAAGGGGATTTGAGGTTATATGTATACATATAGCTGATTCACTTTGTTATGCAGCAGAAACTAACACAACATTGTAAAGCAATTATACTCCAATAAAGATGTTTAAAAAAAATTAGTTCTATAAATTGAACAAATGTTACATTAAAAATAAAGAGATAAATTGACATTGAAAAAAAATAGTGTCTGTGATTGTACTATAATAGTAATTTAATAAACACGGACAGGCTACAACAACATTCCAGTAAGAAAGGAGACAGATAGCCACAAAGTCCACAAAAATTATAAGCACAGGGCTTCCCTGGTGGCGCAGTGGTTGAGAGTCCGCCTGCCAATGCAGGGGACATGGGTTCGTGCCCCGGTCCAGGAAGATCCCACATGCCGCAGAGCGGCTGGGCCCGTGAGCCATGGCCGCTGAGCCTGCGCGTCCGGAGCCTGTGCTCCACAACGGGAAAGGCCACAGCAGTGAGAGGCCCGCATACCGAAAAAAATAAAAAAAAATTATAAGCACAGATTGCTTAACTTACTTGGCATGCTTCTCTTCTGAAAATAAAGCTTTAGGTTTTATCCCATTTCTTCAGTGAACAGGTTCTTTTATGACGTCTAAGGAGATAAGATATTAATAGCAATTTCTTTGGAAACTTGGTTTTCCTTTTCCTCTTAGAAGAGAAGGCACAATCAAATAATGAATGGGGCTTCCCTAGTGGCGCAGTGGTTGAGAGTCCGCCTGCCGATGCAGGGGACACAGTTCGTGCCCCGGTCCGGGAGGATCCCGCGTGCCGCGGAGCGGCTGGGCCCGTGAGCCATGGCCGCTGAGCCTGCGCGTCCGGAGCCTGGAGCCTGTGCTCCGCAGCGGGAGAGGCCGCAGCGGTGAGAGGCCCGCGTACCGCAAAATAAATAAATAAATAATAATGAATGCAAAACGTCTAGTGACGGCGAAGAGCAAACTGAGTTGTCAAGAAGAGGCTGGACAGAAAAAGACTGTCTCTTCAACCAAGATGTTGACATGAGTCTAAGCAACTAAGAAGACTTCTAGGAAAGCCAAAAATAAGAAGAGAAGGGTTCTAATCTCGGTTTACCTGTTTGAAGCTAACGGAAGGAAGGGAGGATGCCACATCAAAATTTTCATGATAGTTTTGTTCTAAACAATTGACTAAAATGGGACAATATGTAAACATCTCTACACTCTCCTTCTACTGGTAACCGTTACACTGAGGGTTCTGCAGCTTAGCTAGCTCTTCTAATCCCAAGCACCTGGGATCTGTAATGATGGCAGTGGTTGTTTGGGGTGTGGGTGGGGTGAATATAGCCGGATGCAGGGCACTTTTCAGGTGATAATTGCACCCCCTGGACTGCTTGTCCAAACACTCTCGTGAACAAAGAGCTGAAGTAATGACGATAAAAATCAAGTGGCAGGCCCTGTGTTAGACCTTTGACAGGCTTTATGCCATTTAGGTACCAACCCCATGAGGTACAGAGATCAGTATTAGCACTGACAGATGACGAAACACATGTAGCAACTTTCCTCACAATTAATATGTTTCTAGGATTAGAACCCAAGTTTGTCGAATTTCCAACCCCCCTTTCTTTCCCTGTGATCAGCGCCTCACTGCTATAAGCCAGTCTCTGTATTAACACAAAGGCAAGCAATTCCGTGCAGCACCTGTTCATCGTCTGCGCTGAGCACAACATAAGCCCCCCGAAGAGAGGAATTCGACCAGTGCCAGCAGGGTCCCGGGACACAGAGGGGAATCCCGGAGCCGACTTGCCTTCTCGCGCGCCTAGCGCATGGAAAGAGACACTTCGGGCGCGAGCGCCAGCGAGGTAGTGCCCGCCGCGCCCGCTCCCACGCCAGCCCGCATCTCACCCCAGGCCGCCGGCAGCGCGAGCAGCACCAGAACCGCCAGGAGGGCTCCTCCGGGGCAGAAGGCAGGGAACGCTGGCGGCAGGAGAGGCTCCCGGCTCCTCGGAGAAGTGGCTCCCATCGTCCCCAAGGGCCTCTAGTAACCAGATGCGATCTCGGAGAAAATCGAAGTCAGTCAGGGGAAAGTGCAGCCGAGAGAAGTACCACACACCCGGTTCCGCTCCCAGGGTCTGAGAAGCGTGGCGGAGGTTCCGGGACAAAAAGCTTTTGACCACAACTTCCCCTTGGTGAGCAAGGTCTTGTTTACTCCCAGTTTGCATTGTTTCTAACAAGTATCACTCCCAAAGACCACCTTAGAGATCCAGGTACGGGAGGAAAATCTGGCAGCGCTTTCAGCTCCTTGATGTATTCCGCGTGTGAGGATGGGCAGTTCCAGACAAAGGCGGTGGATTCTCACAACTTCGCTTTTATACACCCCTGCGTGGCTTTTCCCCTTCTCAAGAATCCACGTGGGTAGGTCACCTAAAGAAATGCCTGCTTTCTCTGTTGAAGCAACTGTTGCAGGCAGCATGCTCAGTGTACAAGGAATATGAAGAACTAATTTCTTTATGTTGAATTGAGATACACCAAGCCACCGAAAGATTTTTTAAATGAGAGTGACTTAATCAAATTTGCATTTTTAAAAGTATGATTCTGTCTATAGTATAGAGACTGGATAGGAATAGGGCAATAGCGGAGACCAGCAAGGAGGCTTTTGCCATCATCTGGGTGGGGTTTGGTGGTGACTGTGACTGGGGATAAAGTAGACAATTAAGAAAGATATTGCAGATGAACAAAATTTGCTCAAGCATTGGACTTTGGTTAATTTCTTTCTTAAAGTTAGTGGTGAGAAAAAGAAGGAAATCTATAGTTAGCCCGAGGATTCAAAATGAATGGTAGTGCTATTTATTGAAATAAGAAGTATGGGGGAGGGAAAGGTAAGAATTCAAAGATGAGAGAAATGGGAGTGTGTGGTAGGCAGAATAATGGTCCACAAGATGTCCCCGTCCTATTCCCCACAACGTGTGATATGTCACCTTATGTGGCAAGAAGGATTTTGCAGGTGTGATTAAATTAAGGAGTTTGAGATGGGGAGATTATCCTGTATTATCTGGGTGGGCAACATAATCAAAGGGGTTCTTATAAGAGGAACGCACCAGAACAAAGTGGGAAAAGGCAATGTCTGAAGCAGAGATTGGAGTGATGCTGCCACAAGCCAAGGAATGCCAGCTACCTCTAGAAGCTGGAAGAGGCAAGGAACAGATTCTTTTCTGGAGTTTTCAGAAAGAGTCAGTCCCACCAACACCTTGGTCCAGCCCTGTAATACTCATTTTAGACTTCTGACCTCCAGAATTGTTAAAACAAAAATCTGTGTTGTTTTAAGATTCAAGGTAATTTGTTATAGCAGTAACAGGAAATTAATATGGAGGAGGGAGGGTAAACTGATCAAGGGAGAATGTCAAAAGCTTTTTGGATTTTTAACTGAGAAAGTTATGGTCATTGGGCAAATGGAGTTTCGTGACAGCCAGGAGGTGTGGGAATGTTCTAGGAAAAGTTTGGGAATATAGGTAGTTTGTTGATTATGAAGCTGGACTTCTAGTAAGGCCCATAATGAGGACTTCTGAAAAGGAAATGGATGGAAGAGGGTTAAAAATCTCAGGAATTGTTGGGTCTGTTAAGGGAGAACATGTACAATAAACAATAGAAAGATCAGGATTCATCTAGAGGTTTTTTAAAAAGTTTGTTGAAGTATAATTGATGTACAATATTAGTTTCAGGTGTACAACATAGTGATTCAAAATTTTTATTGCTTATATTCCATTTAAAGTTATTATTGGCTATATTCCCTGTGCTGTATGATATACCCTTGTACCTTATTTATTAATACATAGTAGTTTGTACCTCTTAGTTCCCTACCCCTATCTTGTCCCTCTCCCCCTCCCTCTCCCTACTGGTAACCACTAGTTTGTTCCTTATATCTGTGAGTCTGTTTCTGTTCTGTTATATTCATTCTTATTTTTAATTAATTAATTTATTTGTTTTTATTTTTGGCTGTGTTGGGTCTTCATTGCTGCACGTGGGCTTCCTCTAGTTGCAGCAAGTGGGGGCTACTCTCCGTTGCGGTACGTGGGCTTCTCATTGCGGTGGCTTCTCTTGTTGCAGAGCATGGGCTCTAGGCACACAGGCTTCAGTAGTTGTGGCATGCGGGCTCAGTAGTTGTGGCTCAAGGGCTCTAGAGTGCAGGCTCAGTAATTGTGGCACATGGGCTTAGTTGCTCTGAGGCATGTGGGATCTTCTGAGACCAGGGCTCAAACACGTGTCCCCTGCATTGGCAGGTGAGTTCTCAACCACTGCTCCACCAGGGAAGCCCTATATTCATCCTTTTGTTTTATTTTTTAGATTACACATACAAATGATAACACACAGCATTTGTCTTTTTCTGTATGACTTATCAACCAGAGGTTTTTAACATTTTTGTGTATCATGGACCACTTTGCCTGTTTGATCAAGCAGGACCCCTTCTCAGAATTATTTTTTAAATGCAAAAAATAAAGTACATGGGATTACAAAGAACGCTGGTTAAACTGAAATACAGTTCTAGCCACGAATTTTTGGAGGTCTGTGGTTCCTAAGACAAGAACTCCAGATTTAAAAATTAGTAGAAACAAGAGCCACTCATTTCTGAAGCAAGAGTCGAAACAAGTCGTATGGAGAGTGGAGTAATTCCAAATACCAAATGCTGTAGAGAGGAGAGGGGGTGAGGGTTGAAAAGATATTGTAGCAGATATTTCAGTAAATATGCTAGCTCTTTTCTCCTCCGTGCATAGATATGATTCATGGTGGAGTAAAGACACTCAAGGTTGAAAACTATTCTCTACTCAGTGTACTTTCACCGTTGGAGACCCATGTACACACAGTCCAGCAAGCCTATATCACTCAGCATGTACAGCCTTAGCTCACAAAAACAATCCAGAATACTGTCTTACTTCATTTGTCCCTTTTATTCAAGTCTCACTTCCTACCCTCACTAGTTGAGAAAGGGCAGTGTCCCAAAGGCCAGATATATTCTTAATCTTCCATTGCTTTCCATTAGACTCTCTCCCAAGACTCTACTGCAAGAAACGTCTACTTTGATCACATCATTTACCACACCTCCTTTTTAATACTTTAATACCACTCTATCAAGGATTTGATATTATCCTTTCAAGATATTCTCTACAGAGCAACGGAAAAAGAAGCCAGATCCTGGTAGACCATGGAAAAGGGAATAGAAGATTCAATTCCCCAGGCTTACCTCATATGCTATCAGAATATGCCACTCATTACCACTCCTTTTTACACTAACCTTCTAGCATCTGCTTCCTTCCCTCATATCTTGAAGGTTTTAGCTCCTAGCTCATGGCAAACTCCTCTACTGTTACTCCTGTCATAGTCCTCAGTGAATTGATATTCACAGTGATGGTATTTTCCAAATACCTGGCCTTTCGGCACCTTGACCTCTTCTCTGCCAATGATCTTGTTCTTCCTTCTACTCTGCCACTTATGCCCATGGCCATACCTTAGACCCTGTCGTCATCAATTACTGTAATCCCTTCATAATTTTGGCCATCCCACGGTCCAACCACCAGTCCTATCCTTCTATTTCACCTCTAGTACCCTGATCCCAACAATCTTTGTATCTCTCAGTTCCTACAGTCCATTGATCTTGCTGCCATCTTTCAATCTCAAACCCCCTTAGTGTCCTCACTTTCATCCTCACCAGGTTAAATTCCATGATCGATCATTATAATCACTATCTTGCATACAACCTCGGCTTCTTTGCCCTTCTCCCACTTTATCATATTTATTAAACGAACAATCTTGGTTAGATTCATTTCTCCATAATTTTGCCCCTGTACCCATGAAATTGAACATGGTTGGAGAAAAACACATATCCATGGGAGCTAGTCTGTTTAATGACAACTCATTTCAAATGGACCTTTGTAATGCTGCCTGGTGTTCTTACTATACTTACCTAGTCCATTTACTCTCTCATTCTTCCAAGAGACTATTTCAAATTTTTTATTTTGACATTGAACTCTGACTTCTCCTCCATCATTCTTAGTCTCTGTTTATAGCTTTGCTTCTTTTTTTTTTCTAGAAAAAAAATCAAAGAAAACTTCCACAAACTTCTCTCATTACTTAACACCAATACCTCTATCTGGTTTATATAGTTTCCTTATCTCCTCTTAGTATGGTTATACTGTTCACACCCTTATCGAAGGCTAACTTCTCCACTAGTGCACTAGATTCAATTTGTTCTTACTTGCTCAAAGACATCACTCCAGGAATTCCCCTCTTTCTCCAGAATCATTATTTTCCCCCTTTCTACTGGATTTTACCATAAGCATGCAAAAACATTTCTCCAAATGCAGCAGACATAGTCCCTCTTTGATTTTTTTTTGGTTTGTTTTTTGTTTGTTCTATTGTGTTTTGTTTTGGTTTTTTTTCACCTAATGTTTCTTTTGCTTGGAACACTTTCTGACCAGATATCTATCTGCATGGCTACCTCCGTCATCTCCTTGAGTTTTTTTGCTCAAATGTGATGTTCTCAGTGAAGCCTTCTCTGGCCACTATTTACAATTGCACGTCCATTCAGAACTTCCTTTCCTCTTTCTCTGCTTCATATAATTTTTAAAATTTTACTTATTTTTTCATTTTATTTCCATCTGACAATCTTCTTGTTGTCTGCCTCTCTTCACTAGAATAAAAGCTACATGAGAGAACATGTCCATTTATCACTGCTATATCCCACAACCTAAAACACTATGTAGCACACAAGAATGATTTCTACAATTGTTTGTTAAGTGAATAAATGAAATTAGTAAATCAGCTAAGGTCAACCCCTTTTTCAGAAAATTTGGTGGTAAAGAGAAGGGATAGTTTAAGAGAGAAAGCATGGATGGTTTGGGGAGGATTTGTTTTCAGGCTTGGGGGTGGATATTTGTTGCTTTAACTGGGCCCCTTCTTCTGGAATTGGGCCCCTGATTTTTCCTCTTTTCCACAGTTCCATGTGGTTCAGGTGGACCAAGGTTTCTCAAATACAACACTATTGACACGTTGAGC